AATACATAACCTTGACAACCGAACACTAGCACCCTAACTCGAACACGCTAACCCTGAGCCTAATCCTGGCAACATGTCCCGAACACCCTGACTCGAACACCCAGACCCTTAATCTAACACCCTAGCCCTAACACCGTAACACCTACACTGGTCACCTGGCCCGAACACACTGTTCCTGGAACCCTAACCAGGCCACCTTAACTCTGACCCTGACACCCTAAACCTAACACCCTAGCCCTAACGCCCTAACACCCTACCCCTAGCACACTAACCCTACTACCCGAACCCTAGCCCTGACACGCTGACCCTAACACCGTACCCCTAACGCCCTGCACCTAACCGTATCACCCTAGCCCTGTCCCTCGCACCCTAACCCGAACACCATGACCCTAACACACCAAAACCCTGGCACTCTCACCCTAACGGCCTAGCCATCACCCGAACACCCTAACCCTGACAAACAAGCCCTAACACCCCGATCTTAACCGTGACAACCGAATCCAAGCACCCGATCCCTAACATCCTAACCCTAACACCATAACCCTCACACCATAACCCTAACACACTGGTACCCTAGCACCCGACCCTCACAACCTAGTCCTACAACCCTAACCCTAACCCTAACACCCTAGCCCTAGCACTCTCACAAACACTCTACCCCGCACACGCTGCCCTCAGCACCTAATGAGGTCACCCCAACGCCTGACGCTGAACATGACACCCCAACCCTCGCACCCTATCCCTAACACCACATCCCTAACACCCGAACACTAACCCTAACACCCTTATCCCTACCCCTAACTTCAACACCATAACTCCTAACCCTAACTCCCTAACCATAATGAGTTGAATACATTAACCCCAAGACGCAAGCCCTAACACGCTAAGCCTAACCATGACACCCCGTCTTAACGCCGCAACCCTAACACTCTGACCTCTGGCCCTAACACCCTAACCCCAACACCCTAGTCCTGACACCCCAGCTTTACCACCCTACCCCTGACCCTACCGCCGTAACACCCCTGCACTCACACATGAGCATCATGTCCCTCATCCTGACACACTAACACCTTGCCTCGAGGGAATGCTTCCCCCTCCCCCCCTCCCTCGCCCAGGGAGATGCGAGACTGGGAGGCCGCAGTTCCCTGCCAAGGGGAGGTGGTCGAACCTCCCCCACCTCTGGCGCAAAGGAGACGAGGGGGGGGTCCGAAAACCCCACCCCCCGCCATGTGAAGTCCGAAACAAGACACCCCTTGAAGGGGGAGAGTTGAGCAGGGACCGACCGTCCCGGCATTCCTGTGGTCCTACCACGAACTGTTCTGAGAACCCCCAAAAATGTTCGAAGGACAAAGACAAGGCTCTCAGAGCATGAACCCATGTGTTAGAAGTCCCCCGTGAAGTCCGAAGCAAGACACCCCGCTGAAGGGGGAGAGGGGGGGGGGGCGAGCGCACGCCCTCGTCGATGAGAAGGGCATCCCCTGGCGCTTCTTTTTGGGCTTCGCTGGCCTTCCGCCGAAAAAGAGGTGTCAACTGCTCGATGCCTCGAAGGCGAACCGCATTCTGGAGCACCCCCATCTTGTGGCCTCCAGATACCACTGAAGTTGGGCACACCCGCAGTGAGAACGGATAGAACATGGGGACGATGCCCAACAGCAAATTCTGCCCCAAATCAGCGGCTTCAAAATATGCCGACTCCTGCTGGAGTCATAGGCGTGTGAAATACTGTTCCAGTGTTCGCGAACCTGACAGGGTCCGCCTGGGCCGCCACTCCACGCTGGGGGGAGTCGACCCCCGTTAGTGTGGAAAGAGTCTACAGCGTGCCCCGACAATCGCCCCTGGCCAGGCGGCGCCGCGACTGCAAGCCTGTCTGTCATAGAATGCTGAAGTGAAGGAGTCGGTGGATGTGGCGCAGACCTATGGAACCACCTAGCTTGGAGGTCGCTGGGGGGGGGGGGGCAGCGCTGTTCCCGGGGCCAGATCTCAATACGCTTGGCCGGCGACCTTGATCCGCCAGTAGCATGTCGTACGACACCCAATCCGCAAGGAGCTCGGCTCTGAGGTTTGCCATTACCGACGGTTGGGCTTCGGTGGCAACTCATGGGAACCTCCCATACCATCTTGTCGGCTCTTGCGAATCGACGCTCATCGCCGCTAGATCGACGCTAACCGACGCTAAATCGGAGCTATCTCATGGACTCTAGACTCTAGACGCTCATCGACGCTGCTCGACGCTGAAGACGGATTTTAAGAGGGTATACCAGGCCCCCATGATTTGCCACCGACTTGGGCCGCTGAGGCTTGCTCCTACACCTTGCGAAATGCTTTAGAAATCATGGGTTCAGAAATTCGTAGTCTCAGAACTTGAACAAAAACCCAACATTTCGATTAAAATCTTAAGATTTGCATTGAAACGTTAAGAATAATCGAGACTCTGGCCGAAAACTTAAGTTTTCTTAAGCATCGCCTGAGGTGTACCCTGCGAGATCTGCTCCCCCCGGCGTCGCCCCAGAAGCACAGATCGCGTCCGCTGCCCCTCGAGGAGCTTCCACGCCCGACCTCGCGCACTGCGCGCCCTTGCGATGCGCGACGCGCGTGCACCTGCGTGCTCCCGCGAGGGCAGCTCCGCGGCCGCACCCGCGACGCGCGTGCTGCGCCCCTGGAGAAAGCTTGCCCACAATCGGCAACACCCGCGGCGACACCGGCACCGAGCCGTGGTCGCAGCTGGCAAGAAGCAGTCGGTGTTCGGGGGGGCGTCAGGGTGGGGTGAACGGTTCTTGAGAGGCAGTGGTGGGGGGGGAAGGAACACCGGCTGACACGACTCGCCCCCGGAACGAGGAGGTGTGAACATCCAGCCCGGGTCCCTCCCCGACCCCACCTTGGGCTCAGGTCGGGCCTGTCCCCCTACAGAGGGATTTCGCACGATAAAATGAAAAATAGTCCAAACAGGCTCAAAAAAATATAATTTGTAAAAAAATCGTCCCCCGAGTATGTTTTGACTATTTTTGAATTTTCCCCCTGTAGAGGGACAAGCCCGACCCCACCTTGGGCCTTGGGAGAACACCCCCCTCTGGGACCCCCCAAGCTGTTGGTCTTCGCCCCGAGTTTTACCGCCCCCCAATGTGGCGACGCGCACCAGGGGGCGGCGTCGCGAGGGGGAGGAGTCTTTTCCAACCATGCACGTGGGGGGGTCCTCCGAGAAGGCAGCGGGCTTCTGAGAATCGAGGGACAAACAAAAAAACGCCATAAACATAAACTTGTGGAGATCTGCGCGGATGTCTTGGATCTGAGCTGGACCCCCCCTGCGCCGGAGGCGCCGCCAGGGTGGTCCCAGCGCAGATCCAAGAAATCCCCGCGGAGCGCCAAAAACTGAACTAAGTTCATGCCGTTTTCCTCCTTAGAAAGAAGCCACACCTGGCTTCTGGGAAGCCTTCTCAAAGCTTCTGGGATCGTCCAAGATCGGGGAGACGCAAGACTCGGGTTCAGGGGACTCGGGTTGGCCTGACGGGGCCATCATGAAAATGACGAGACCCAATCTGAAATTTGACGCGAACTCCCGCTGCAAACATCCCACGACATCTGGACCGTCAGAATCCAGGACGCGCGCGCGTCACCAAGCGTCGGCAAACCCAAGTTTTGGCGTACTCGAGTCTTGCATCTCCCCGATTCTGGGCTCGTCTCAGAAGGCCCCCCGCCAGCCAGGGAGCGCCCCCCCAGCCGTCCTGAAACAGCCGCCTCTCCCTCGCGCGCGCCGCCGGGTCCCGCTCCATCTGGGCAGGAGCTGCTGCTGGTCGTCGCCCCCGGGCCCAAAGAGACCTCCGATGCCCTGACGGTGTACAGCCAAGAACGGGACCAAGACCATTACCGCTTGAGAGGCCTGGGCCTGCCTCCATGAGGCTTCTTGAGACAAGCCAGGACCAACATCCGTGGTGAACGCTCGAGAGGGCGCGAGCGTGCTGAAGGAACTGTGCCAGCCTTCCGGCGAGTTGGTGAAGAAACGCTGCCCCCCGGCTTGTCGGGGGAAGGTTCCTTCATCAGATGCTCCATTGTACTGCCTGGGGCCCCTGGAACTCTGGACCACTTCCCGGCGGGACCCCCAGACGCCGACAGCGAGGAGGAGGAGGAGGAGGAGGAGGAGGAGGAGGAGGAGGAGGAGGAGGAGGGAGGAGGAGGAGGAGGAGGAGGAATAGGAGGAGGAGGGCCCCTGGAACTCTGGACCACTTCCCGGCGGGACCCGTGTTTCGCCCCGGATCATTGTGGACGGTCCCGGAGCCCGGCGAGGGCCCCCCGACGCCGACAGCGACAGAAGAACGCCGTCTCTTCCTGTCTTCGGTGTGTGTTGGAGGCTCGCTTCCCCGAGGATCGGCGGCGAGCGGGGGGGGGAATGAGCAGGAGAAAGCCTTCTCAGAAGGGGGCGGGGCTTCTCAGAAAGCGTCCGGCCTTCTGAGAGAGTGTTGTAATTATCTTCGGGAAGGCTTAGAACACTTCTCAGAAGGCCGGGGGGCTTCTGAAAGGCCCGCCCCTTCTCACTTCCCCCCCCTCGCTCGCTGCAGAGAGGAGGGAGGAATGGGCCGCATCGAGAGGGGAGCATCGCACCCGGAGAAGGGAGGAGTGGAGCACACCGAGGAAGGAGGTGTGGACCGCACCGAGAAGGGAGGAATGCACCGCACCGAGAAGGGAGCACCGCACCTGGAGAAGGAAGGAATGGAGCGCACCGAGGAAGGAGAAGTGGGCCGCACCGGGGAGGAATGGGCCGCACCGAGGAGGGAGGAATGGGCCGTCCCCGTTTGGATCCGCACCGAGAATGGAGGAGAGTGGAGAGGACCGTGGGGCGCGGACCTCCTCCTCCTCCTCCGCCTCCTCCTCCTCCTCCTCCGCCTCCTCCGCCTCCTCCGCCTCCTCCGCCTCCTCCGCCTCCTCCGCCTCCTCCGCCTCCTCCGCCTTCTCCGCCTCATCCTCCTCCTCGTCCTCCTCCGCCTCCTCCGCCTCCTCCTCCTCCTCGTCCTCCTCCTCCGCCTCCTCCGCTGGGCGCGGACCTGGGGGCCCGCCCTCTGCGGGGGCCCTGCTCCCAGAGCCCGGGTGGCCAGGCTCACTGCGCGGTCACCTCGCAGATGTGCTCGATGATGGAGCGCTGCGAGGGGTAGTCGAACATGAGGGACGCCGGCAGGTTCATGCCCAGGTGCTGGTTCAAGGAGTTCCTTCCCCAGACCGCCGAGGTGTCGAACAGAAGTCAGGACGGAGGTCTCCCCTAGCTGGAGTTCTCGGCGTCTGGGCGCCCTCGCTGGGCCCCTAGGACCAGCAAAACACAGCCCAGGACGAAAAAGGACGGTCCTGTGGAGGTGGTCCAGACGTCTGGGGGGGCGGGGCCCACATGGAAAAAAACGGGACCTCGGAGGTGAGGGCTCTCTCAGGGCATCCACAGCTACACAAAACGTCACCGTGACCGTGGCCCTGGCCGCCCTGGCCCTGGCACCGTGCACACGCCCTGGCACCGGCCCAGGGCCCAGGACGGCCCTCGCCGGGAGCCGTGCTGGGTGCATGTACAGGATGCCTCCCGCGGACTCCTGAAGGCCACGCTGGAGAGGCTGTCCATGCCGGCCTCCATGAGCGGGACGTCCAGCGACACCTCCTCGTCGCTGGCCAGGGACCCCAGCGTCTCCCGCAGGACGACCTCCTGCACGTGGGCCGGGTCCATGCCCTTCTTCTCCTCCTTTGGCGCCTCCAGCGCGGGCGCGTCCGCCGCCCCCTCGGCGCCGGGGTCGGCCTGGTGCGCCTCCGCCCCGCCCGGCACGCCCTGGACCCTTTGGATGATCTCGAGAGCGCGTGCCTCAATGTTCGTGTCCTGGATGCTCTGGGCCAGCGCCAGCGCCTTCTCCTAGATGACGACAAACAACATACAAGCGAAGTGCTGGAGGCCCGCGCGGATGTCTTGGATCTTCGCTGAACCTCCTGCCTGGCACGCGGAGCGCGCCAGGGGGCGGCGCTTAGGGCGCCGCCAGGGGATTCCCGCGCCGATCCAACAGGTCCGCGCGGAGCTCCGAAAGCGTGTGTTGGTGCACTTTGTTCTTCTTTGATCTCCGCCACGTCCACTGCCTTCGCCTTGTTGCCCGACGCCAGGTGCACCTCGGCCACCAGGCCGATCGCGTCCGCCTCCGCCCGCGTGGCCTGGATGGCGCGGAAGAGGTCCACCGCCTGGTCGGCCGCTTTCAGCGCGTCCTCGAAACCTCCCAGCGCCACCTGCGTCTGCCCGACGCAGTAGGTCGCGACCCCAATCAAGAACCTGTCCTAGCAGAAGACAAAAAAACATAAGCATCAAATGCTGGAGCTCCGGGCGGACTTCTTGTATCGGCGCCCCTGGCGCGCTCCGCGAGCCAGGGGCGCCGGAGACGCCGGAGGACGGGCCCAGGTCCAGAACCAAGACATCCGCGCGGACCTCCGAAAGTTTATATTCATGCAGTGTTTTTCTTCTTCGATGTCCTCCACCTTCCTCGCCGTAGACAAGGCCTCCTTGGCCGACTTCACCGCCCTGGTGGCGTGCCGCCTCAGCGTCCTGGCCTGGTCCTGCCCCGCAAACACCTCCAGGCTTGCGGCCGCGAGCGTCATCTGCGCGGCGAAGACGTTGGCAACCACCTCGAGGGCACCAAATAGGTACCGACACCGATGCTCCCGGGACCTCTCCCAAGGGCGCGCTCTGACCCGAATTCCGTGGAGAATCCGGCCGTGATGGCGCAGGACGAACGGCGACGTCGGTGTCTTCCCCTTCTCTGACCACCTGCCCCCTCCGGTCCTCGGCTCGCTTGGCCTGGGAGAACGAACATATTATCACCAACCTAAGAGCTCCCTCCGAAGTCCGCCCGGATTTCTCGGATCGGCGCTGGAGCCCCCCGGCGGCGCCTCCGGCGCCGCTCCCCGGCGCGCTCCGCGCGCCCGGGAGCGGGGCCCAGCCCCGACGACGCGAGCAATCTCCGCGGACCTCCGAGAGTTGTTCTGCTCATGCCGCTGCTTGTTTGGAGGCCTAGAAATGGGCACCAGCACCAACACAAGGGGTTGCCTCCACAGGGGGAAGACGATCCTCGATTTCGGTGCTGGTGGCAATAGTTCGGCCACCCTGGAAGCCAGAATATTACCACCATCACCGAGATCGGGATCTTCCTCCCTCGGTGGATGCACACCGCCGATATTGGTGTTGGTGTCAATCTCTAGGCCTGCGACTTGTTCCCCTCTTGGCCAGCTCCACGGCGCCCTGGGCGGCCGCGATGGCCTCCGCGGGCTTCTCCATCTCCAGGTGCGCCGTCGCCACGGTCTGCAGGGCGCCCGCCTCTCTGGAGCAGGGACCGGCCGCCCCGGGCACCCCCAGAAGGCCCACCACGACACGCCCGCGTGGAGCGAAAGGGTGCTCCAAGCCCCGGCAGCAGCGCTCTTGGAGCACAAGACCGACGTGCTGGAAGCAAGACCGCCTCAGCCAGAGGTGTTCTCAGAACCTCTCGCACAAGCAACCCCAAAAAACGTCTTAGAACACTCTCTGGAGGGCCGAAAGTAGGGGGAAAACAAACCTCCCTCGCTTTTGACCATCCTCGCTTCCAAGAGATACCAAACGATGCCAAATTGCGGCCTGTACTGGTCAGGCCGCTTGACGAGGAGGCGCGTGGTATGGCTTGGTTTTGCCTGGAAGCGAAAGCGGGGGAGGTTATTCACGCTCTGAGAAAGGCAAGCCGGGGCGCTTCGCCACTACTTGACGCCTCAGAGGCCCTGTCGCCCAGCTGCTGGAAGAGCTCCTGGGCCTGCAGCGCCGCGGTGAGCGCCGCGCTGGGCTGCCTCTCCTCTCGGAAAGTCAGAAGGTACCTCCTCCTCCTCGCCTCCTCCTCCTCCTCCTCCTCCTCCTCCTCCTCCTCCTCCTCCTCCACCTCCCCTCCTCCTCCTCCTCCTCCTCCTCCTCCTCCTCCTCCTCCTCCTCCTCCTCCTCCTCCTCCTCCTCCTCCTCCCCTCCTCCTGCTCCTCCTGCCTCCCTCCTCCTCCTCCTCCTCCTCCTCCTCCTCCTCCTCCTCCTCCTCCTCCTCCTCCCCCTCCTCATCTGGGGAAGCCAAAAGGAGCCGATACGGCTGCTCCCCGGACCTCTCTCTGGGCGCGTTATGACCAGGACTTCGGTGCGGATCTGGCCGTGGCGACGATGGGCTTCCCTGGAGGCCCGAGAGGGCGAACACCGAGGGGAGGGGAGCGGCATGGGCACCTTTCCCTCTTCGGATCCTTGGAGCCCTCGCCGCCCGCCAGGCACACCTCCGCGATCATCACGAGCGCTGCGGCCTCGCCCGCCACGTCCCCAACCTCCAGGAAGAGTCCCTGCGCCTCCCGAGCGGCCGAGAGCGCCTTGTCCAGGCTCTCCGCGGAGAGCGGCACTGCCTCGCCGGCGACGCCCACAAGGGGTGTGGCGCGGGGGGAAAGCCGGCCAACAGTGGGGGCCAGTCCACAAGAAACCTCCCAGAAGAAGCCCCACCCTGAGACCCCAGGACGTCCACTCGGCTGTAGGTGCGGGAGCGTCACGCTCTCTCCATCGCAAGACCCTCGAGGCCCGAGCAGCCCAGGGCACCCTGGAGGCAAGCGGGGCGCTTCCTGGCAGGGGCCCCCACTGCGCGGAGCAGGTGGAGGGCCTTCTCGGGAGGCGAAGGGCCGAGGGGCCTCCTCGCCTCTCGGCAGGGCCCGGCGGCTGCTCGGGAGCCGCCGGGCCCTCCCCTGAGAGCGCCCCTGCCCTCTGAGGGAGCCCCCGCCGCCATCGCAGGAGGCCGCCCCCCCCCCGCGCCACCCCCGCGCGGGCGCCGCGCCGGCCTTGCTCCACGTCTCGGAGACCTTGAGGCAGGCGATGCCCTCGCGCACCCTGTCGCCCATGCCCTGGCACACCGCGCGCTGCTCCTCGCGCAGCCGGACGGACTCCTCCAGCTCCCCGGCCAGCTCCCGCATGGCGGCCAGGGTGTCCAGCACCGTGACCAGCTCGCTGTCGTCGCCGGTATCCTTCAGGAGGGCCTTGGCCTCCTCGAAGACGTCCGCCGCCCTGCTGGTGTCCTCCGCGCGCACGTGCAGCTGGAGGATGGTGTGGAGCACCTGCGACTCCCACGCCTTGTCGTCCAACTCGCGCGCGAGTGACAGGCTCGACTCAGCCACGCTCAGGGCCGCCGCCATGTCGCCCTCCTCGTAGACGTCGCTTCCGACGTACGCTAGGATCAGCCCGTTGCCGACCAGCACCTGGCCGCGCTTGTCCCCAGCCTTCTGGCACCTCTAGAAGAAGGAACACCAGCGTAGGCGTAAACGTCGGGATCTCTGTGCGGATTTCTTGTATCTGGGCTGACCCCCCTACCTGGCGCGCTCCGCGCGCCAGGGACGGCGCCGGAGGCGCCGCCAGTAGGGTCCAGCGCAGATTCAAGAAATCCGCGCGGACCTCCGAAAGTTGATGCGTGTGTCCTTTTTCTTTTTCGAACCTCGCCAAGCCCTCCTTGGCCACCTCCACGGCCTTCAGGGATTCCCCGAGCTGCGTGTAGATGTCCGCGAGCATGGCCAAGGACGCCTGCTGGAAGCCCCTGCCGTAGCCGAGCTCCTCGAAGAGCTGCAGCGCCTCCTTGGCGGCCGGCAGCGCTTCCTCTGAGGCCTTCCAAAAGGAGTCTGAGCAGATCGGGTCCGAGGATCGCGCGGCATCCCCGGACACCATAGATGCATCGGCGATGCGGCGACGGCGTCGGCGACGCATCCGCGACGTCGGCGTGGGAAAGATTGGGCTCGCGATGCTGCACGATCCTCCGACCTCATCTGCTCGGAGCACGCTTGGAAGACCTGGGCTCCTTGAACTTCTCGCTGACCAGGCAGATTTCTGCGAGCAGCAGCTGGGCGGCGGCCTCCATCTTCTTCGGCCCCACCTCCCTGAACATCCTGACCGCGGCCTGGGCCTGCGTGCGGGAGGGATCGGAGCGCCAACCCCGCCCGAGATCCACAGGACGAAGCCGGTCCGAGGCGAAGAGAATCGCTGCGCTCTGAGTGCTTTTGCTGGCGCGGCGAGGCGGCGCCTCCCTGCGGCGCGCCCTGCCGCGCAGGCGGGCGGATAATTAGCGTGCCGCTCCGCTCCGCGGTGCGGGAGCCTCGGAAAGGCGCGGGACACTTCGTCGAGGGCTCCTGGATGGGGTCCTCCTCCTCCTCCTCCTCCTCCTCCTCCTCCTCATGCTCCTGCTCCTGCTCCTGCTCCTGCTCCTCCTCCTCCTCCTCCTCCTCCTCCTCCTCCTCCTCCTCCTCAGAGTAGGTGGGGTCGGAGGACCGCGCCGCATCGCCGATGCATCGGCGATGCATCGGCGATACACCGGCGACGAGGCGTCGACGTGGGCGATGCCTCGGCGGCGTCGACGTGAAGGAAGTCGGGCTCCAGATGGAGCTGCATCGGCGATGCATCGGCGGTGCGGCGCGATCCTCCGACCCCATCTACTCTGACCCCATCTAGGAGGCCCAGAACACTGGCGCTTGGAAGAAGGGGGCCTGGGTAGCGTGTCGTGACGAAGCGGGGCGGGGCAGAACTGGAGCGACACGCGACCCCAAGAGATCGCGACCGCGTCGCGAGCCACGACGTGGAACCGAGAGGGCGGCGGACGAGGAGAGGCGCTGAGCGAGACAGGGTGCGCGCGGACACGGTAACCAGCCTCGAACTCATCCCCATCCCCAAGATTGACAGGCCGAGAGGCGATGGCAGTCTTGGGAATCTGAGGGAATCCCTGAGATCGGCATCGAGATGGGGCGGCAAATGCCATTCCCCTCCCCTCTTCGCTCCTGCGCGCGCGCGCGTGCTGGCAAGAGGGAGGGCCGTGCCATAGCTACTTTGGTTCAGGCCGTCTGACGAGCCGGCGAGGCCGGCGGAAGCTCACCACAAAGCGCCTGCGAAACAAGCTATCACAGAATTACATCACAGGTTTGAGCTCGTCCACTGCTGTGCTGTGCGCACACGCTTCGCACCGGCCGCGCGGGGCCTCCCGCACCGCCTCGGGGGCGCAGCTGCAGAGCTGCCTCGCCTCCGCGAGGAGGCCGTGGGCCCTCGCCTCCAGGCCGGGCTCCCCCAGCGCCCGGAAGGCCTGCAGCGCCTCGCCCGCCAGCGCGAGCGCCCTGCCGCTCTCCAGCCGGTCCACGGCGATCCTGCGCCCGCGGGGGGGGGGGCGGCGCCCGCACGAGCGCTCCGGAGAGGAGGAGGAGGAGGAGGAGAGGGGGGAGGAGGAGGAGGATGAGGAGGAGGAGGAGGAGGAGGAGAGGGGGGAGGAGGAGGAGGAGGAGGAGGAGGAGGAGGAGGAGGAGGAGGAGGAGGAGGAGGAGGAGGAGGGCCCCGCGCGCAGCCCTCGGGGATCGGCGCCGGAGCCCGGCGCCCCGGGGCGCGCGGGCAGGAGGCTCCAGCGCCGACCCCGGGGGGTCCGCGCGGGCCTCCGCGAGCGCCCCCTGCGGTGCCGTGCTTCTCTGGCTCGCCGAGGGCCTGAAGAGCGCCACGATGGCGAAGCCCTCGAGCTTGGCCGCGGCGGCCTGCTGGAAGATCTCGCGGGCCTGCGTGGCGGCCTGCGCCGCCTCCTCCCGCCGCCGGTAGTCCTTCGGGAGCAGGTAGATCACCTCGGACAGCGACAGGAGCATCGCGCCGACGCACACCCGCTCCCCCGCCTCCTCGAAGCCCGCGAGCCTCGCCCTGCAGAACTCCTCGGCCGCACGCAGGTCCTCCTCCGCCTTGGCCACGTCCGCCCCCCAGAAGCTCGCGTCCGCCCTCGCCTCTCGACGACCCTCAGAACGTGTGCCAGCGCCCACGTGTGCTTGTCCACCGAAGCACGTCAGCACGACGCAGGACGTGCTACGTGCGAGGGCCGACACAACCAGGAGAACATCGGCGGAACCGAACGGGTCAACGCACAGACTACGGTCGGGAAATCCTGCGGACCGTGTCGCCACGGCGGCGCTGGCACCACGCTGTGCCTTGCAAGCAGGTGGCGTGCCGCTCCGCTCCACGGGGCGGGAGGTCGGGGACCGCTCGGGACGCTGGCTCTTGGGGGCCAGAGCGTGCACGGCGTGCAGCACCGAGGCGCGGTGGGCCAGAACCGGCGGCGCGACACGCGATCCAAAAGTTCTCGACCGTAGGCGCACACACGGTCTGAGGATCACCGAGCCTTGTACGCGTGAACCATCAGGCGGCAGCTGTCCGCGACCCCGACGGCGTCCCCCGCGGCCTGGAAGAGCTCGAGGGCCTGCTCTGCGCCCTTCAGGGCCTCGTCGCAGTCCTCCTTCTCCGCCAGCTGCCCCTCGGCCACAGAGAAGAGCACGGCCAGAAGACCAAGCAGGCACTCTCGAACGCAAGCTTCCGGAGGCTCGCGAAGATCTCTCGGCTCGGGCGCTGGATTAAAACAGGGCTAGGATCGGGATAAATCGATCCAGAGCGTTCCGGAACGCTCTCAGAGCGTTCCGGAACGCTCTGGAGCGGCCGCGGCGCCCAATACATCCTCCAAACCCGCCGATTCTCAGAGATTTCGAGTTATCCCGATCCGATTTTGTCCCGATCTTCGCGTCGTTTGATGCATCCCCCTCCCCGTGCCCTTGGCGGCGCCTCCGGCGCAGGCCCCCCCGGCGCCCCGCGCCACAGGGCACGGGCCACGAGGCAAGGAGGGCCCCGGCGCCTTGCCCTCAGAAGTCCGACCGCGGGCCTCGGAGAGCTCGCGCCCGCGCCGCCTTTTTGGGGCCTTCTGCATGGCGGCCTCCCGCTTCTTCTCCGCCGCGGCGGCGTCGTCGGCCAGCGAGGTGTACCTCTCCCCGAGGCCGTCCGTGGCGAGGCGCGCGGAGAAGGTCCTGCAGGCGGCGGCGGCGGCGGCGGCGGTCTCGGCCAGCGGCGGCAGTGGCGTGGCCGGATAGCGCGACCCGCGCACCTCCTCCTCCTCCACCTCTTCCTCCTCCTCCTCCTCCTCCTCCTCCTCCTCCTCCTCCTCCTCCTCTTCCTCCTCCTCCTCCTCCTCCTCCTCCTCCTCCTCCTC